TCTCTCTCTCTCTCTCTCTCTCTCTCTCTCTCTCTCTCTCTCTCTCTCTCTCTCTCACACACACACACACACACACACACACACACACACACACTTTAAGTTCCCAGGAAAGGGAGGGAAAGCGGGATGTATTGTGTGGTAAGGAGTGGGTTATATTCACAATTAAAACTGTGAGATGCTAACGCCCATTATAAAGACAAATAGAAAGGTACAACTTCATTGTTGAAAACAATTTCCCTTCTATCGGTCCAAGGATTCATGCATCAATATTTTAGATGAACTGTTAATTACAAAATCAATTAAAAATTATTTCTAAAAACAGTCACGCATCCCTGGCTCTCATGGGGGCAATTTGGGCAGAAGGTCTCATCTTGCCCAGACCGAGCCAAATCACAAAGTCGTCATCCACAAGTAAGCAAAAGCAATCTGGTATTTCATTTTTCAGCACGGCTGAGCCCAGCCTGAGATTGATCGTCACATATGGCCCCAGAAAACAAACTGTCAATACCTTGAATACTGCAGAATTTGAACAAATAGCCATCCGCCCGTTCAAGCCACTCATTGCATCCCATTTAACAGATTTTATTGACAGTTTCCTTCTTGTAATTAAAGGGAAAACTACTGGCCGGCAACCAAGATAAAGTTCAAAGATAGGGTCAAAACAAAAGCAGCTGGAAAGAGCGCCGTGTGACTGTCAATGGTACATGGTTTCAGAGCCGTTATTGACATGCAGGTATCTGATGATCAGCCCGTCATTAGGAGGGATCTATCCTGAACTTTATGCAAATGTTAAAAGAGACTTAAGGCTACTATCTATCCATAAGGAAGGCAAAAAGGGAAAATACAACAAAGTATCAACCATTTTAACTTACCAAGAGTATTCCCCTATTTTAGCACACCCCTGTTCAAACGGTAGGCGTACCTATTCCTATAACTCTTAATCTCTACGGAAGGTAGCACTTTCAACAGAGTGTGATATCTGAAGAATTCCAGGCTATAAAATATAGACTGTTTTTTTTTTCATAACAAAAATCAAAAGGCAACATGGCATGTATTTTTCTCAACTGCAAAATTGGCCTTTTTGAGGGGAAAGGTGGGGACTGTTTCCCCATAACTCACTGACGTTGACTTGCGCAGAAACAACAATGGAGCTAATTTTGTCCCAAGAGTACCCATTTACATGAGTCCCTCAAGACCTTCTGCTTTGCTCCTTTTCAAATTAGTAAAAGCATAGGATGGTAAAAGTGTCAGAGCTTCTGAGAGCAAGTAAATAAAAAATGTTCCTTCTAAGTTTATTTTTCTCTCTCTTAACTTTTCACTAGAAAGCTGCGCTGATTATAATTTTGCTGACTCATGGAGAACTTACAAACTAGGTCTCACAAATCCCCAAGAAGAGAAGGAAAGGGGTAAAGCTGACATCTTTAACAACGCAACAATGACCACATCAATATGCCAACCTGAATTAGCAAGAGCTATTGCTTTGAGGGTGACGAATTCTTCCTTCTCTAACTTCATGCTCTTATATTTCTTCACCAGCTGCAGGATAGCATTATTTAGGTCAAGAAGGCCTGCTAATTTGGACTGGTCTTCATCCATAATATAATCGTCTGCATAGACAAGTTCATCTTCAAATGAAAGCGATCGGTACACAACGCCGAGAATCAAAATTTCCATCCATGCGCTCTGGAGAAGGCTCATCTGATCCGCCAGGGACAGTGTGGAGAAGCCTGTAAGGGAAGATGGGTGGATCAAGTTACTCTAAAGCCAGTTTCATAAGGCAACCTGCACTTCCTAGGGTGGGCAGCCTCTGCCTTGGAGCTCAAAACCATACTATGCTCTGATTAGAAGCTATTAACTCCCCCACCAACCCCAGTATCATTTAATGAGCCCATAGTAGAAGCCACGAGCCAGCTTCTGTGGTAGGTGCTATGGTAGGGTTATAAACCCAGCTCAGGAAACAGGATAGAGAGATGGTTTTCTTTTCTATTTGCAGGGAAAGCACCACACTATCTCCCTGCTCTATTTCCAATATTAAAGGCGGTGAGATTTTCAGGTACCTTCAACCACCTAGCTTTTAAAATCTATATTGACAGGGAAGATAAAGGCCAAAATAATCCTGGAAGAAAATGATTTAAACCCCTTAAGAGTCACCAAGTTGGAAATGTGTCTCTGTAACATCCATGCGATGAATTAAAGCAAAGTAACATTCTTGCCTGGATATGTGTTATTAGTATAGATCTCTCTTTTATATACTCACTAGTATATAAAGAAGAAATCTTATCTTACCTGACTGCCCTCCCAAGAGAAAAGCCACAATTCACTCTTATTATTAAAGTCTATTTGTCTAAAAGTCTAAATATAAATATAAGTAAAAGTGTTTGGTGGGAAAACCTGGAAGAAAGCCAGAGCCCAAATAAAAATATTGGTTGCACTCAGGCACTGTCTTGGTCATGCTTCCTAAGCAGGGCAATGAACTTGTTCTTGCATGTGGGAAACGTAAAATGTGCTACTTTTCTAACTGATAGTTCACAACACAAAGTTGGGAAGTGTATCTTATTTTCACCTGAAATTTCTGGCTCCATTTTTTCTTAAAACTTAGCATCCAATACAGGCACTATGTAAACTGAGCATCCAATATAGAGCTATCTCTGTGTATAGGTATATGTAAGCTGTCTTCGGTGCTTGAGTAACAAAAGTCAGACACTGAGAAGAGTCAAATCATGTCTAACAAGGCACAACGGAATAAGACAGTCAGATCGCCTTCATTAAGTCTACATAGATGTATAAATGTCCATATTATATAATGTATTTGCATATATATAATGTGTGTGCGTGTCACCTAATGCCTTCACACGTCAGAGGATTGAGCACTATACTGAAAAGAACAATGATAATGGCTGATGGCCAGGTGACTGTTTCCAAGAGACCTAAAAGCATAAATTGCCAGTGATATGCCCCAGAATCCCAAGTCCTGGTCCATGGTCACTATGTATATGCTACCATGATTTACAGCTACAGAGAGATCACTGTAGCTAAAGCAACTCAGGAAACCTCATTTGACACCCTTCTTAGACATTGTGACCCAATCATAAAGACCATGTACACCTAACCTCACAAGTTCCTGCTTACCAACAGTTGGTGTCATTCTTAATGTTGAAACAGATTTACTTGTCCCATACAACGGTAAAGCAGGGGTTTTCCTGACCCACTGAGAAAACCAGTAAACTGCCCCTTGGTGCCATTACCTCTAAGTGCTTAATCAAACCATCGAAAGGATCCCTTCAGCTTCTCTTGATGGGCTCCCCATAGCATTTCTTTACTATGAAGGTACTTATCCTGTATTTCATAGGACTGGCTTTGGGTCTAGTTGCATAAGGCTTTCCTCCCCTTATTTTATCAATAAATTTTAGTATTACATTAAAAAAAATATGTCCCGATAGCATTTAAAAAAAATCAACAGAGGAAATAATTATCAGAGAAAATTAAGTTCTACAAAAGACAAACACAGCTCATTGTCACTTCCCTGCCCACCCCCTCCACCCCCCACCGCTAGCACACCAATGAACTTGAAAAGAAAGAAATTCGTAAAAGGAATGTTTTTTTAATGAATTCAATCAACAACACCCGCCACAATAATCATCACTGGGAAACTTCTGAGCCAGAAGGAACGGATTTTTTTTTTTTAATTTTTCCTGGTTTAATTCTTCTGTTTCACGATCTGATCCCAAATAGCAGTTTGTTGCCACAGCAGATGGAGGGACCTCATAGCCCGGAGCACCATCCTGAGACAGCCAGGTCCTCCCTCCCAGACACTGCGGTTAGTAAATAGATTTACGCCGTCCTCCAATCTTCACACATCTTCCTGACGAATAATTAAAAGCAGGATGATTAGTTTATTGAGTGGAAGGAGGAACTTTTTTATTGAGGTCCATCCATGATTTTATCAGGGCCAGCACTTTTACGGTTGTCACAGGGGTGCAGCCATCCAATTTTTCTTATCTGCCTGATTAATACAAACGCTGTTTCAGGACGCATTAATTAACAGATACAAATCTACGTTCTCATGGAAGGATCAATACCGAGAAGAAAAGAGGCATCAATGTGAATTTAGTGCTGATGATGGAGAAGGCGTGCTATCGACATTTACGTGTGCGGAAACTTTAAAGTTGCATGGGGCCCCTTTGTCCCTGTGATTTACAAATTAACATTTTTTTCCAACAACAACAATGTCTGCCACATTTCTTTGGGGTTTAATTAAGCAAAAGCAATAAAATTTCATTTTTAAAGGTTGATTCTGCAATTTGTTTCCTCTGTATTGATGGCTTTGTGTATGTGTCTGTGTGTTGCCTGTGTGGCATCTGCTTTGCAAATCTTGCTTTCCCTTTTATTTTACCATGAAATAAAGAGAAAGAAAAAGTAAAGAAAGGGTACCTTTTTTTTTAAGCGCAAAGTTGTAATGACTTTGCTTGCTTGATGTCCTCAAGGTTTTTTTTTTCTACTTTGTTAAAGTAGTGTGATTTTTATAGAAGCATCAATTAAAAAGGAAGGAAGGAAGGAAGGAAGGAAGGAAGGAAGGAAGGAAGGAAGAAAGGAAGAAAGAAAGGAAGGAAGGAAAGAAGGAAGGAAGATGTATACATTATAGAATATGGCAATCTGGGCTTCTATCTCTTTTTAGCTTATTAATTAGCGTCTCTCACAATTTGGTCCTTTTTTGAGTTCACCTCTGCAATCTGGAAACTGACACAAAGATCTCCCCCATCCAAACCCTGGGGTAGAACTCAAGCTGTCTACAAAACAGGCATTCCGTAGATCTTAGGGGCCCAGTATATGATAAAGATTTTGTTTCCATCCCATAAAACACTCGTTTATTTATTTACTTGCTTGCTTACCATAAGCGGTTGAGGCTGACCTTGAACTTGTTACACAGTGCAGGCTGACCTCCCTCTTGCTGTTCTCCTCTCTCTGAGCCCTGAGTGCTAGCATTAATGATTTGTACCACCATGCCTGACTTTCAAAACAAAAAAATCTTTTCACCCTCCATTTAGGATGGCTGTCTCTATTTCCCTTCCATGATAGAATAATATCTTTATCAAGAGACTTGAGCAAAGCAGAGACACCTAAATGAGGAGGCTAATGAAAATGGCGGGTCATAAAGCGACCGCTAAGGGTTCTTAAAGACGCGATAGCATTACTGGCTCATGGACACTTATGTCCAGATGATAATTACTCATTTGTGCTCTTAGCAGACATTCCATGATGTTTAGAGGTCTTGTCATCTATAACATGTAGCTGTCATTGGCAAGATACCTTTCTTCTCTCAAGCAAAATGAGATGGGGCTTGCCATTGTGTCCCTTGAAGCTCACATGCTGTTCGCCCGGGATCTTAATCTCTGGCTTATGGCAGGCTATACTTTCTAATGTTCAGCCCTATTACAGCTTTTTAAAATACACCACAGCACATTTTTCTCTTTCCCATTGGCAGCCCCTTCCATTGCTACCACTGACAAGTCTGATCTCTCTTCATCTCTGTCCTGGACTCGGTGCCATTTACTGTATCTTAGGCATTTTGCTCAGCAGAAGGGCTCTCTACTCTGACCTGCAGCTAAATTATGTGTTTATCAACACTTCACTGTGCTCCAAATACACTAGATGACCATGGCGAATAATATCACGTGGAAGGATTGAAGAGCTTCTCCAAACAGGTGCCCCTGAGGTACCAGGCTTGAAGGAAGCACGCTTTATGCCAACCTTCTTACCCATTTCTCCAGGAACCTTCAGGGACTGAGTGGGACACCACAGGCACTCGTCAGTAACGTGTTTTTCCCCAGCCCAACAAACTTATGCACTTTACAGTCAACGTACAAAAAAGGCTAAGCATTTGAAAGTGTGAAGGGCAAAAACTATCTGACGGCTAGTCTTCAAAAATACACTTTCATTTCAGAAAGCATAAATGTTTATTTCCTGAATGGAGTGCTGACAGAAATAGGCTGCAGTGCAGGCATTTGGTTTTAACCCCTGCCAGGCATTTCCCCTGTCAGCTGCTTAGCTTGAAACAGAAAGCCAACGTTTAAATCCTCAGGGTATCTGTTAGTATCAGTTAATCATGGCATTGATTTGCCTATTCGCAGGTTTTGAAGTGTAGTTTCTCTATTCCACAATAAATAAATGAATAAATAAATAACAAATAAATAAAATGATAAAATGATTGACTTTTGTTCCCAACAAATAGCATATTAGGCTACAATCATTATTCCGCTATAGTAACCCACTGAGATGCAAAGTTCACTTGGGGGATATAGCATAGGCAAGAATCTCTCATTCCCATCCATGTGACCCTGATGCTTACAGGAACTGGGGAAGAGTAATGTGCCTCTGAGGTTCTGGCTTAGCTGCCACTAGACACTTGGATCAGGACCCTTATATAGAGACGACTTATTGTGCTGTTAATGAGCCAGTTGTTTTGTGCACATATTGATAGGGATTGTCACTTGTTCTCTGAGCCACAGAGTGCGATGATCAGGTCTTGGCTGTCTATGCACATGTCTGTATGTGTGTGCATTTAAATGTGTATATAAGTGTGTATGCATGTGTTTGTGCATTTTTGTGTGAGGGTACATACCTATGGAGGCCAGAGGTCTTTGTACTGTGTTTTTCTTACTTTGTGAGACATCGTATCTCAATGAACATAGATCTCATCAGCTGACTGGCTGACCAATGAAGCCCAGGT